CTGGAGAAGACCTGGCTGTTTTAATAATCTGAAGACAGTGGTTTTTGTTCAAGGACATGCACATTTAAACAGCCAGAAACAGCTCGTGAAGAGGCTGTAGAAACCCAGAGAGAAAAAATCATGACTTTTAATTGATTAAAGAGAGGTGAATCTTAACCATCTTTCGTTTGAAGGATTTTCACAGCTTTAATCTGGAAATATTTGCTCTCAAAATCATGTCCCACTTCAGCTGTTCTCCCACTTGTGTGACCAAAATATAGAGAGAATATTTATCCTGAAGAGTGGGAGGAAGGAGGGGGGGGGAAGCATTCATTGCAGAAATGGGATCTGTAGGGAGAAATTTAAGCAATCTCATGATCCACTTCTGCTATAATCAAATTAATAGCCCTCAAAAGAATCCAATTCAGTAAAAAAAACAAAAAAAAAACAACAACACACACACACCTGTGTAGGTCTAGGTGTGTTCGGGTCTTTTTCCCCTGTAAGATTAAGGTTATCTTGGCGACGTTTCATCGAGGTCCCACTCGCTATCCTCAGGCTGGTGCTTTCGGCTTCGTGCCAGTGCAAGCAGTGTATGATCGGAGCTGCCATCTCTCTATAAATACTGGTGGTGGGGGCTGGTGTGCTGGGCTGGTTGGCTGCGCTGCTGCCTCTTGATTGGTTGATGGAGTTGATGTTGGTATAATGGGCTGTGTGATGGCCTTGTGAGTTTTGTTGTGGAGGTATCCTGGATCTTGTGCTGTAATCTCCTGGGTCGTTTGTTTTGTAGTGATCTTTTTTCCATTAGCCTCTCGTGTTGTAACGGCTTGTGTGATGGGCTTGCAAGTTCTTTTGTTGTGGTATCCTGGGTCCTGCGTTGTAATCTCCTGGGTCGTTTGTGTTTTGATCTCTTTTCCATTAGCCTCCTGTGTTGTAACGGCTTGGGTAGTGGGTTGTGTGATGACCTTGTGAGACTTATTGCTGTGGTATCCTTGGTCTTGTGCTGTGATATCCTGGGTCATTTGCTGTGTTGCAACTTCTTGAGTTCTTGTGGTATAATTTCCTGAGTTTTCTGATGTGATATCCTGAGCGGGTGGCCGTGATGTAGCATTCTGGGTTTTAGTCTGGCTTCGAGTTTGGGGTCTGGGTCTGTGTTCTTGGCGTGTGTCAGCTTGTTTGGTTTTGGGGTTGGGGTGTGTGACAGCTGGCGAGGCAGCTGTGGTCTGCTTTCTGGATGGTGGTTGTCCTTCGTTTATAGGATGGCCTTGGGCCTGGGTCTGATGAGGGGGATTGGCGGTGGTGTCCCGTGTTGTTTCGGGTCTGGTGTTGGTTTTCGTGGCTGGGACTCATTTGTTGGTAAGGGCTAGCTTCCAGATGTCTGGTAGGCGGGAGGTATCATCCCATCTATTCATGTTATGGGGGTGTTTCTCTATCTCGGTGGCTTCCCTGATTATTCTCTTGCTGGAGTGTTCAGTGTTGGATATTAATTTGGTTCCTTCGAAATTAATTTCATGTCCTGTGGCTTTAAGGTGCTGGAAGAAGAAGTATTTTCTTCTCTTCTGACTGCGTTTTTGTGTTCTGCATTGCATGCATTTATTCTCCTGTTGGTTTGTCCAATGTATGTGGCTGGGCAATTGTTGCATGGTATTTCATAAACTCCTTGGTTTTCTAGCTGGATCCTGTCTTTGGGGTTTCTTAGGATGTTGGCTATTTTTTGGTCAGTGCCGAAGGCTGTCCTGATATTGTGTTTGTGGGGAATTTTGCTGATTTTGTCTGTGGTGCCTTTGATGTAGGGGAGGAGTGCAATACCGTTGTCTTGTTCTGTGTCTTGTTTTTTTGGGGTATCTCTTTTCGGATTAGACTGGTGATAGTGTTTCTTTGGAATCCGTTGGAAATTAATACGTTAGTGAGGGTGTGTAGTTCTGTTCTCAGGTGGTCTTTGTCAGCTAGGAGATGAGGGTCTTGGCTACGGAGTTGAACTGTGCAGGGTGGTGATGGGATTGTGCATTTAGGTAGTGGTTGGTGTTTGTTTTTTTCCGGTAGATGGTGTTTCCTAGGGAGCCATTGGGTTTTTTGTAAATTAGGATGTCCAGAAAGGGAAGTTGGTTGTTGGTTTCTGTTTCCATGGTGAATTGTATTTTGGGGTGTAGGTTGTTAAGATGTGTGAGGAAGTTGTCCAGATTTTCTTTCCCGTGTGGCCAAATTACGAAAGTGTCATCTACATATCTGAGCCAGAGTTTGGGTTTGTGTTCGGATTTGTCTAGAGTGTTGGTTTCAAAGTGTTCCATGTATAGGTTAGCGATGACGGGTGAGAGGGATGATCCCATAGGTGCTCCTTCTATCTGTTTGTATCTTTGTCCATTGTGGATGAAGTATGTGTTGGTTAGGCAGTGGTTGGTCAGATCTAGGATGTGTTTGGGGGGATTGTATTTGTTTTGGATGGCTGTCAAGGCTTCTTTGATGGGTACTTGGGTGAAGAGGGATATGACATCGAAGCTCACGAGTAGGTCGCTGGGTTGTAGGTTTTGTTTCTTTATTGTTTCTATGAAGTGGAAGGAGTTTTGTATGTGTGAAGTGATGGATTCTGTGTAGGGCTGGAGTTGTTTGGCGAGAAATTTGGCAAGATTCTGTAGAGGTGAGCCTATGGAGCTGACTATGGCTCTGAGTGGTATTCCTTCTTTGTGTATCTTGGGGAGGCCATAGAGCTTAGGGCATCTGGATGATTTGTGAGTGCAGGCTTCCAGATAATGGACAGTCTGGTGGAGTCATCTCTTCTATTCATGCTTTCAGGTCTTTTTTCAATCTCTATGGCTTCTCTGATGATTCTGTGGCTGGGGTTTTCTATAGTGGCTAGGGTTTTGGTGCCATTGAAGTCGATGATATGACCTGTGGCTTTCATGTGTTGGACTAGTGAGGAAGTATGTTCCAGCTTTTTTACTGCATTTTTGTGTTCATCCAGGCAGGTACTTATTCTTCTATTGGTCTTTCCGATGTATGTGGCAGGGCATGATGCACAGGGGACTTCATATATGCTATGCATATATGCTATATGCATACACAAGCCTGATGATAGCTGATGAGATTCTGCCGAAACGTCGCTACAACTTTAAAAGCACAACTATAATGATGTGGGAAAATATCTAAACAAAGCTGAATACCATACATACATACATACATACATACATACATACATACATACATACATGTTTTCTTAAGTTTTCACAGGTATTTATATGTATGGTATTCAGCTTTGCTCGGGTATTTTCCCACATCATTATAGTTTCCCATGTCATTACAGTTTATAGTCATTATAGTTTCCCACGTCATTATATATTAAACGAACACTATACAGAAGCCTGATGATGGCAGATGAGATTCTGCCGAAACGTTGCTACAACTTTAAAAGCACAACTATAATGACGTGGGAAATCATCTGCCATCATCAGGCTTCTGTATTGTGTTCGTCTGTAAGTCAGACTTTTACAGTTGTTTCAGTTTTAAATTTGGGGCTAGCCTACTGCTGTGCCAGAATGGTTTTTTCTTCATGCTGATTGGTTGGGAGTCTTGGTCTGTGTTTATTGGAGTATATATATATATATATGTATGTTTTTGTAGATTTTCATGGGTATAGGTATGTAGGTCTAGGTATGTTCGGGTCTTTTCCCGAAATAGACCAGTTCTTTGGAACTTCTCTGGATAAGGAGAAGATGGGAAATCACCCACATGTGCCCTGGGGCAGTGGTTTTCTTTTTTAAAAAATCACTTTCAGTTTGAGTGCTTGGAAATGGAAGAATTAAAGAGAAATCAAATCCTATAACAATATTGGATTAAATTAAAAAATAACTGTAAGTTCTTTTCCAATGTTCTGGCAATCCCTTGTGGACTTTTGGCTGACACCAGAATTGTAAAGTTGATGTCTTATGGATTTGCTTATAGATTACGGATGGGCTATGGAATGAAGAGATATCTGTTTAACCTTATAGGAAATGAAGACTTACTAAACTTATTCATTTTTTTTATTAAATATATATTCCAGAGCGATTCTTGGATAGTTTATACGCTTGTAATGAAGGTTGGAAATCACTTCCTTATATATTTCTTTTCTTTTTTATTATGTTCTCTCCTTTTCTTCTTTTTCTCTTTTCTTGTACTTTTTATTCTTTCTTTCCATTCTCTTCTCTTTCCTAACTTTAGTTTGCATTAGTTTTTACTACTGCAATTAAAATTTTTAATCAAAATATATTTTAAAATATAGAAACCTAGGGAGTGATAGCAGTTCTCCCTATATAACTTTTCTTTCATCTCTAGGAATTAGCTCTGATCAACCTATTGTCCAAATTTCATGTTATAATGTTCCAAGCCAATGTTACCACAAATCTTTCTATTTTCAAAATTTGTTCCAATTACATCAGACATTTTGGCTGTAGATTGAAGAAGGGTAAAGTATGAAGTAACTTGAAATCACGCAGCAAGAGGGACATCTGTTTTATAGCTTTAGAAGGAAGATGGGCAACTTCCCAGAGTAAAATATATGTAGGTACTATGTCCGCTAATGAGAAAAGGATGCTTTTGAAGGCATGGCCAAGAAGGAGTTCTCTGGTGGGAATTTCAGAGACACCTGATTGACTGTTGAAGGAATAGAATGCTCAACTGACCAAGCCTTGGGTTTCATTCTTGTAAGATCTTGTCTTGTGAAATGTTCTTTGAAAAGTGGAATTCGAATAATCAGATTTAAGCTTTATCACTAAATAAAGCAAGCACTCTAGCCATTCAAGAAGAAAAAAGGTTGCTTAATACTGGCAGCCAAATAGCCTCCAACCCTGGTGCATTTTTTAACCCCATCTTTTTTTTTTTTCCTCCTACTGTGTCAGTGTTTCCTTTCCAAAGGATTGTTTTGAGCTCTATTTTTTATTCTGAATAATTATTGGCCTTTGGTATTATTATGAACTGCTTTGGGATTCTGTGGGGTGAGTAGCAATATATTCCATACAAATCAATAACCAAAAAACTCTTTTTGACAGGACCACTCCTCTCCTGCCTGTAGCTGGTCCCAGGGTTCATTATCATGTGACACCCTCTTGCAGCTACATACCCCGGAGAGCCGTTCTCTACGTGCCTGCAGATGATGTAAGAAAAATACAGAAGATCCCAACTCTCAACGTTGATTGTGCAGTGCTAGATTGTGAAGATGGTGTTGCTCTAAATAGAAAGGTAATTAACATGTTATCTGTTGAGTTCGATGAAATTAATATGTCACCGTGAGTTATAATATGATCTAATAAAACCATGCATTGAAACCAAGCTGGGATGTACATACTACGTACATTTCTTCTGCCAATCTCTTCTGCAAACAAAGGATGAAAGTACCACAGCAGTTCAGTACAAATTTCACAAAGCAGCCGGATAGTATTTGAACTCTCCTCCTGTATAAAAGCGAAGTACTTAACATCCTTCTCTTAGAACCTCCTCTCCCTAGTGTTCCTTTCAACTTGGACTCAATTATTAAATGAGTAACAATGTAAAATCAAATTACTGCCCAAGGTGTTGGTATTCCTTGTCTCAGCGCGTTCAGGGTGATCTGCAGTGGCAGCAGATTCTTGCAGCTTGTGAAAAATTCCAAAACAAAACATGAGAGCACTGAACTTCTGTCTTTATACCTCCCAATACATTAAGATATAGTGAATTGAATACACACACACACTTTCTAGGGAATGTGTGTATATTTGTATTAAAATAGCCAGAATTCAAATATGATTGCATTTTGAATACTCAGTGATTCAGATGCAAGGCAGTGGGGGATTTTTAGACTTTATCCTCGTACGAAATGAAAAGAGACTTTTTTTGCCAATTGCCAAGTAGATCATTGTCAAAGCTTTCTGCTTGCTTTCTTCTTCCAAAATGGACTCAGCAGAGACTTCATTGTTCATGCCTTTAGGAATCAAACCATAACATTTATGAGAATGCTTGCTTTTTAGGACAATTTCTTCCTTTGTTATAGTTCTTTAAAGAAGTAAAATCATACTTAGCAGTCCTATATAAGACCACATAGTAAAAAATCATGTTAGCATCTTTACTATGGAATTTAGTGAATTGGTCCTTGGTGTGTGTGTGTGTGTGTGTGTGTGTGTGTGTGTGTGAATCTAGAAAGTTAAAATAGGCCCTGTGACATTATAGCCCTCCAGTCTGGTTACTCCAGTAAGCTATAAGCAAATAGTTCCCACAATTAAAAAACACAACTGCCTTTGGAATGGGGGTTAGGATGACGTGGAACTGATGATGTTAAATGGCTGGAAGATAAATGTTAAATGGCTGGAGGATAAATCAGTAACAGAGAACTGTAAAATAATAGCTGTCGGTTCCTTTAGAATAGATTTCTTCCACCCATTGTTTCAGGAATGTAGCGTGTTCTTTATATGGAAAAGTCCCCAATCTGTAGATCATCAAGAAAGGGGGGGAAATGCCCTGACTTCCAGTTTGCCAGGCTTCGGCGGCGGCAGGGATTCGCGATCCTGTGCGATCCCTGTAGCGCTAGCCGTCTTGGTGCCTCCGATCCCGACGGGTCTGGAGGCTAAGGCTGCCCCGTAGAGGCAGCCGAAGATAGGGGGATCCGGAGAGGGGTTTGGGGGCATCGCAGACCCCCTCCCCAGCCGGCAAAACCCCCTTCTCTCAAGGCGGTGGAGCGGCGGTCTGTAATGGCCGCCACGAAGAAGCCGGCAGCTGGGTAAGACTGTGCAGGAGGAAGAGGGAGAAAGTTTTGAAGAGAAAGGTTTTTTTGGCTGAACCAGGACTTTAAGATATACCTAACATCCTGAAAACCATGACTTTTTGAACGATACTTTGTTCCCAGAGGAGATTTTCAAGCAGCGAATTTGAGGTGCTGAAAGGGAAAGTTTACTCTCCTTCCCTACGGAATTAACAAATGGACATTGAGAAACCTGTCTTTTTATAGAAGGTAAAAACTTGGCTCTTTGTTATAAGTGGGAAGGGAGAGGACAAAAAATATATATATTAAGATCTTGTTGGAGGAGATGCCTTGAAGATTTTGAGACTAAATTAATTGCAACAAGGCTTTAAAATACAGACTGGGCTTTTTTTTTTCTTTTTACTGATATTACCCCAGGAAGAGAAAGTGAGAACTTTGTGCTTTGTTTGGACTGATTGATGACTCTGGGACTTTGGGGAATTGTTTCAACTTTTGAAACATCTTGGTTGTTTTAAGAAGAAGAAGAAGAGGGGGGGGGAGAGAAAAAAGAAAAGGTTTATAATGGCGTTACCTGTTGATGAACTTAGAAAGGAATATGGAAAAATAAAGAAAGAAGGCAAGGACGCTGTGGAAGAAGCCTTTCATTTTTTAGAAATGGCGCTTGCTATTTGTCAGCAAACACAACAACAGATGGAGGAAGCAGAAGAAGAAGATGCCATCTTTAATGAATCCAAAAGTTTAATTAAGAAAGAAAGGAGAAAGAGAGGAAGGAAAATGAAGGACTTAAGACTTTAAAAAACACCCAAGAAAGAGAAAAATAAGATGCAAAATCAACACAATGTTAGAAAACAAAAGAAAAAAGGAATACAACAGAGAGGGGAAGCTAAAAAGGTGGAGGTTAGAAGAGGGAGGGGGGGTAAAAAGGCCAGGTGGGAAAAGAAAGGAAGGGAAAAGGGAGAAAAAAGCCACAAAGGTATGAAACAAGATGGGAAAAGGGGAATTTTTTTTAGGGATAAAGGGTAATGTATAATCTTTTTAAAAAGAAGATTCTGCAAGGTACATAAGATGGTATTGTAGTATTTGTATTAGAAATAGAAAATTAGAATGTTATAAGAATTAATAAAAGATTAAAATATTGAAATGTTTAGTAATGATAGACTTCAAAATTTAACAAAATATTAAAGGGAATGTTTAAAACATTGAGTTTAATTACAGAGTTTAATTGACTATTGTGTTGATGTTATTATAAATTTATTACTGTAGCATTTGTTTTTGAAATAGATAATCGGAATGTTACAAGATTTAATATTTAGATTTATTATTTAATTATGTATTTAATCATTTTGGATTTACTATTTTTTCTTTTTTTTTAAAGTTAGTAGGTAGAATGTACTAAGCAGAATCAGATTGGGAACTAGGTGTTATTTTAAATGTTAATTTAGGGGGATGATAGAAAGGCATCATACTTTGATTAGTGATTCCAGGAGAAATCCTTTTTTTTACTATAGGGAATGAGATAAATGGATAATTTGGGAAGAATGGGCAAAAGATAAAAGTATAATGATTTAAATTAAAATGAAATAAATAAAATAGAATTAAGAAGAGTGAAAAGCAGGGAGAAGCTATATAGAAGATATAGAATGGTAAATAAGATAGGTAATGGCATATAAGATAAACATGAATTTAATTGAAGTCCATATAAAGAGAGGTAATCTGGGGCCAAGCTACTTTCTAAAAAGAAGTTTTATGTTTTTGTGTTTTGTGTGTTTATGTTTGAGAATTGATAAAACCTTGGAGGAATCTTGGATGGGAATAACGGTAAACAAGTCAGAGAGAAATGAAGATGATGACTATAAAATGGATAAATATAGGGGAAAAAAATAATAATAATGAAATTGAATAAGAGTAAAGAGAAATAATGAGAAATTTGCTAAAAGATATTTATATGTCCATATGGAAATGGGGTAAAATGGAATTATGTTTTATAAAATAATTTTTTATCCGACTTGTAAAAATTTATAATGGAAAGAGGTTTTATGTACTCAATGGTTAATGATGGTTTGTTTGTCTTTAAAACTAATAAAATTTGTTTCAAAAAAAAAAAAAGAAAAAGAAAGGGAGGGAAATGCCCTTTCATAAACCTGAAGGACTGAATTGTATAACCTGTGGCCCTATGCAGAGGTGGTATTCAGCAAGTTCTGACCAGTTCTGGAGAACCGATACCAGAAATTTTGAGTAGTTCAGAGAACCGGCAAATGCCACCTCTGACTGGCTCCGCCTTCATCTATTCTCTGCCTCCCAAGTCCTAGCTGATTGGCTGGGTCTTCTTTTGTTGCCCTGCACAGGAGAACGAAGCTGGAAAGCAGGTTAGTGGGGTGGGGAGGAAATGGGATTTTGCGGTAACCTTCCCCCAGGAGTGGGGAGGGAGTGGAGATTTTACAGTATCCTTCCTTTGCCATGGCCACCAAGCCACGGCCACAGAACCGGTAGTAAAAAAAATTGAATCCCACCACTGGCCCTATGACCATTTATAGTTTTGGGTATAACCCTCAAATAATTTCCAAAAGCCCCAGCAAATTGTCATGTGTAAAGGACGTAACTTTTAATTGTCCTTTATTTAATTCTACTTTGTGTCCTACGTCCCCAACCTTTCTAGCTTTCTGGATTGGCAGCAGCAGTGGCAACAGAGGGAGGGGGTGGCTTTGTGCATGCTACCTCGCTCCCGCACATGCGCAAATGAAACTTCACACTCTTCCCGGCCGCTTGCACAGACCGGTTCCCAACAGGCTGTGGACTGGTAGCACCAGGCTATGGCCCAGGGATTGGGGGCCCTTGTCCTAGCCCCATTCCTGTAGCCCCCAAGCATGCTACTCTAAATGTGGCCTTCAGCCAAAAAAAAAAAAAACCTTGTTGCGCTCCCAGAGTGGATAATACTAAGCTAGAGGAACCAAGAGCTTCATCTGATGTACAGCAATTACAGATGTTTCTTTTGGCTTGATGTCACCAGCATATTTCAGATGTATCCTCTCCCCCCGCCCTTTTCTTAAAGAGAAACAAAAATTATATAATTAGGTACCAACATCATTGAACATGATGCCTGCATATCATGTTCATAAGTTTATTTCTCTATTGTTTAGCAACGGTATAGTGACATGAAATGTTCATTCTGCCTTGTAGCCAGAGGTGAGCTGCTGCTGCTTCGCACTAGAAGTTAAGATTCTACGCAGTTCAGCGAACCGGCAAATCCCACTACTAGCTGGCCCTGCCCTTGCTTGTTTTTTGGCCTGTTTTGGGGGCCATTTTCCAGGCCATTTTAAGCTCACTTTGGGGCATTTGGGGGGCTGTTTTCAAGCCATTTTTGGGCTGTTTTGGGGCTGAAAAACAACCTGAAAATGGCCCAAAAAACAGGCTGAAAAATGGGCGGGGGCCAGCCAGTAGTGGGATTAACCCGAACCAGCTGGATCCTACCTCTGCCTTTGAGGCGAGTGGCCAGGAAGCAGGGCTGGAT